CCATTTCTGCCCACTGTAGTATTATTAGTAGCTCGGCAAATTAATTATTATCTCTTTGAAATACCCCTACCTCAGTTTCCTTTTCTCTTATACAGAACTCTAAGCATTGTATACCCCATAGGATTGTTGGGAAGAAAAAATGTCATGAGGAATGTAAACCAAAACCACAGAGCCAGGTAGTGAGAGACAGAAAGGAATGAATGAATGAATGTGTAGATCCTTAGGTAAATTCATATGATTGAAGGAGAAAAGTAGGAAGGGAAAAGGGACATAATAAAATTTCCAGAACGTTAAAGGGAAAAAAAGTGGGGTTGGTTTGTCCTGAAGCTTGTTTGCTCGGTAGAAAAGAAGCAAAGTTTTCCAGTCAAACCACTGTGGGTGACATGGAGTCCGGTAATAGAAAACAACTGGATAAAAAGAAAGGGGACCGCATGGGACCGGTGCCGTAAGTAGAAACCTGACATTACATAAGAGGCTTAGTTAGGAGTCTATAAAGCTCAGGTAAGTAGCAATGTCAGTAATGGTTCAGGGAGTCCATTGTATGGGAGGTTTTTTAATCTTCCACAACTAAGGTTTGAAACAGGAAAACAAGAAGCTGAATTTATCCCAACTTGGTAGGAGGGAAGAGTAGAGAGCAAGACACCAAGAGGGAACAGGCATGCCAAGTAGCTAAATGTAAAAGTCAGACAATGGGATTAAGGCTGACATAGGAACAGAAAGCAACAAAAGGGTATTCACTCTGTTAAGTTTGCTGTGAAAGAGAAGTTTTCCAGATAATGGCCAATTTTTAGGCTAAGGCATAAGGATGGCAACAAGTAGAGAAACTGGGAGGCTTGGGTTTTGCAAAGATTATGATTTGGGATGTTAGAGTTTCCCAGGCTGATAGAAAATACATCTATTCCAAAAAGACAGCAACAGGTACAACTTCTGAGAATTAGAGGTAGAGGAGTGTGGGAAGAACAGGAACCAGCCTTGAATTTGGAGAAAAATTCATGCAATGGTCTGGAGTGTGGTAGGTCATTAATCTGCTTTGCTAACATCAGATCTTTAAAATGTTGGTACTTCTTGTCCTCGTGATTCACAAAACAACAAAAGTACAGAACCTCCTGTTTCTCCTTGCCTGATGGAGCATGGTCCATCAGAGGGGGTAGTTCAGGTGAGGGATTAAACTCAGAAATAGTCATTAGAATAAACTCATGCCAAGCAAGTGATTGCTCAGCCATGCAGGCAGCTTTATCTTCTGCAGCACATGCATGTGGCCACAGACTCAAGGAACAGCCCCTATTCTCAGAGTCACTGCGATTTCAAGGTGCCTACAGCAGGCTCATACTCAGCCACAGCCGGTAACTTCTCCTTGCCTTATTCTATCCTTAGTCCAAGTCAATGGGGGGATCTCTCTAGCTTTCCTCTTTGTCGGTGGGTTTCCCTTCTTTTGAAGTTTTGTTTTTTTGCAACACTCTTCTTTTGTCTTCTTTGCCCATGAAAGCAGGAAAAACTCTGACTCCTTACATGGTTGTCCCTATTTTTCTACATGGTCCCTGCTACAATCTTGGAAAGAGCCAGAATGGAGAGTCAGGTGTGAGAAAGTTGGAGAAAGGGACATGGAAGCATCTCTCAGCCTAAATAGTTCTACACCTACAAAGAAAAGTTTGGCTGAACAAGTCATCAATTTGATACATTTAAGTTCCTTACTTTTATTAATACCAGGTGATTATCTCAATATCTTATGAAGTTCATACTTGTTCTGAGTCTCATACTTCTAAGAGATGTTCAGTTTAGAATTTGAATGCCTGTATCTCTGACTCCAAACTCTGCGATTTCTAGCACCTCACTCATGGCAATAAATCATTTCAAGGTCATAGATATGGATATACATGGGTAGGTAATTATGAAGATATATATATTCTGATTCTTGTTTCAGAGAAAGTAGACATAATTTATTTTAACAGATGACATATTTATGTTTGTTTTTTTTTTTTTTCAGATTAATGTGAGGGTACAAACAACCAGGTCAACATCTTTAAATTTGTTAGGTAGAGTCCCTCTTGTAGTTAACGACTCGCACTAGAATGTGTCCCAAACACCCCCACATCATGCCCATTCGTTGGGAGCCCCCCAACCCCTTTCCCTCTCCCCCCCCCCTTAACTTGAATTGAAATGAGTTTTTCTCCTACATGGGCATGCCTTAGATGGTCTACTGGCTTCATGTTAGTATGGAGTACATTGGATAATTGTTTTTCCATTCTTGTGATACTTTAATCAGAAGAATGTGTTTCTACTCTATCTAGGTTAATACAAAAGATGTGATGTCACCATCTTTTTAGGGCTGAATACTATCTATGGTATGCATATGTCGCTATTTGTTAATTGATTCCTGAGTTGATTGTAATGGCCAATCAGTAGCCTTTGTATTTGCCACAATGTGTTAATCCATTTCTGAGTTGATTGGAGTGTCAAATTAGTAACCTTTGTATTTGCCAACCATAGCCAAGATGAAAATTCAATCAACAACAGAATTTTTGTTCCCCAGGAAAAACATTTCTATTTTTAATCCATTTTTTGTGTTTGAGCCTTTGTGACTGGACTGTCAAGTAGAAATTGGGCTATGAAGTAAAGGTTTCAGTGTGGAAGAAATGGGTCCATCCCAGGGAATGAAATGGCTTGTGTTTTAGAGTGACATGCCCCAGGTTGTATGGGACATCCCTCAGTTAACACCAGTTATTTCAGCATTACGACAATTTCTCTGAGTGTCTATATTCACTAACAAGCTAAGATAGTACATTGTGTGAATATGTCACATGACTTGGGTTGGCCCTGATGAGTCTTGAGTCTAATTTCTTTTCCAGGCCAGGACTATGATTGAAACTGGGTGCTGGTAGAAAAAGAAAATTATTTTTATGGTTTTTCTCTCCTTTTCCAAAGCAGAGGAGCTCTCTGAGACCTGAGTTCCTAGATGCTAGGCCAGTGTGCGATTACCATAACCAAGTGTACGGCAATGGCATCATGTAGGGTGGTTTCTCGTGTTTAGAAAGCCATCTGTGGAAGACACTAATAATAAACTGTCTTGGTCATTTTCACAGGCCTCCCCAAAGAACGATATTATATGAAATCTAATGGCTGCCTTTCCCCACAAAATCGTCTTTTTCCTGATATGCTCTCCTTTGGCACATACCGATATCTCAGGTGAGCAACCTTAGAGAGTTGGGGATATAAATATCTGATTTGCCAAAAGTTGTAGGAAATAAAAGAAAATGTCATTTGTGACTTTATGTGGTTAATGTTTTGCTGAAATGTAGGCCTTTGGGCTTAATGATCCAAATTGGGTATTATTAAGAAGTATTTCCTTTAATGAAAAAACTAGACTTGTTTTCTACATTGTGGATTCTTATCCTCATTTCTATTTCGTTGATTAAAAAAAATCATCTAGAGCAGAGAAAATTGCAATGTTTCCATTGTAAGCAATACATTGTGTGAATATAATTTCTAAAAAAATACCTTTTTCGTCTGGGCTTTAAAACAGTTCTCTTAGTATAATAATGGAAGTAAATGAAGAATAAACGATGTTTTGTGTGAATGATATTAGGTTATTGAGTTGTATGCGTTCACAGTTAAGTAATAAAAACCCTATAAGCATAAAGGTAAAATTCATGTTGCCTGCTATTATAGACAGAATACTGGCCTCCCATATCCAAGTTCTAAATGTCCAAGTTCTAAACACAGGAACCTATAAAGATGCTACCTTCAGTGGCCAAAAAGACTTTACAGTGTGATTTAGTTAAAGACCTTGAGATAGAAAGATTATCTTGCATTATTTAGGTGATTATTACCAAAATAATTATAAGGATTCCTATTAAGAGGAACACAGAGGGACCCAAGTCAGAAACATGTGACAATGGAAGCAGAGGGGAGATAGATGCAGGGAAAAGGGCCTTGGGCCAAGCAATCCAGGTAGCCCAAAGGAGCTAGAAAAGTTAAAGGAAATACAATCTTCCCTGGAAACTACAGAAGGGATGCATCTCAGCTAAAATCTTGATTTTAAGACTTCTTACCTCTTGAATTATAAGATAATAAATTTGTTTCATTTTAAGTCACTAAGTTTGTGACATTTCCCAACAGAAGCAATAAAAACTATATACTTGCAATAAGTTTCACACTAGGAAAGTATCTGCATATCTCACTCACTTATGCATTTCCAAATTTTTCTTAAATAAATGATCCATATTAAATACTCAATGCATGAATGTTAAAATATAGCTACCATCAATTATCTGGTATATGTAGGTTCTCCAAAATATACTTTATTATTTTAATAAGCCTCAGTTAGATAAATTGGATTAATCACAGTACTCGGTTCAAGAAATATAACTGGGTCCCATCAGTAAGTACCATGAACGTATTCTTCCTGGAAAAATCTAAATCACTGACAAAAGTTTGAGACCAGAAATGTGATTGTCAGTGATCCAACATCCTTGGATAAAGGCAGAAAAGGGCATTGGATCCACCATTCTAACCTGTCTATTCTTCTCTTTTTTTTGTTTCATCATAGTTTTCTTATTTTTGCACATTGTGGGAAGTGTATCTTTAGAATCCTTTTAAAGCTTATACAAAGTTATATAATTTGTCTTGTAGGACATTTTTACTCAACATTATATAGAGAGAATCATAATTGAAGCGTATTTTTCCCTGCATATTATTAAATTTATACATATTTTATGTGCAGCTATCATTTCAGTTTTATTGATGAGAAATACACGTATCCTAGTGTGTGAATATAACCTAACTTCTTTCCTCTTCTCTTGATAAGCAGTTGGTTTTCTTACAGAGCTGATAATGTTCTTGTGCATGTTTTTTGATGCACATGGGCAAGGTTCTTTTGGATACCTATCTAAGAGTAGTTTTGCTATGTCACATGGTGTATGAATTGTTATAATTATAGGAAAATGTCAGCTAATTTTCCAAAGTTGCTGCATAAATGAACATTTCATAATTAAACTATAACGTAGCCTACAAATCCACATGATCTTCACATTTGATATCACCTAATCCTTTAAAATTTTAGTCAATCTAATCTCATTTTCATATTGATTTGCATTTCCCTGATTGCTAACCAAGTTTAGAATCATTATAAAATTGATGGGCAACGTGTGTTTATTCTTTTGCATTATACCTATTTTTGCCATTTTTTCCTACTGAATTGCTTAAATTTATGTTGCAAATATCTAGGCGATTATGTATCTGTCTACCTATATCATGATACAAATCTTTGTGGACATTTGTATAAATATCTTTTCTCAGATTTTAAATTTTCTTTTGATGGCCTTGAGTAAGTGTTACTGATGAGTAGAAATTCCTAACATTGAAAAGTCAGCTTTGTCAAACTTTTCATTTGTAACAAGCCTTCTTTTTCAGTATTTTGTTAAGGAAATTCTCTCCCTCTAAAATCTAAATATATTTATCTACAGCTTTAATGAACATATTTTATAAACTAAATTCAGGTGTATTTGACACATAATAAACTGTGTCAGTATAATTTTAACATACTTAAAGTGCAGAATATAAGTTTGGACATACAGTAGAACCTCCAAAGTTGACCACCTCCTTAAATTTGCCTAATTTTCATTTATGATTGAGCACATAAGTAAATATATTGTAAACAATAAAAGATAGATTTCTCACTAGTGGAAAAAGGAGTTACTTTGAAAACCCCCCTAATATTAGAAAACTGAATAACCCATAATGCACCGCTAAAGAAAATAACCATTTGAACTTATTATGAACCTAAGGAAAATGAAACAAAGTAAATGAAAAGCTATGTTCAAAGTGCCATTGCCCCCAAACCCTTTCCCTTCTGCACCACTCTCCCTGTTATTCTCTAGGTAACCAACCTCATTAGTCTCCATGCTTCTTGTGTTTCGG